TGTGTTTTAACTGGTCTATGTGATTTGGGAAGCGCACTATGAAGTGCAACCGTATGCTGACGCTTCCTGCAGTGATGATTATATGGCTTCACGTGAGCCGTGCGCATCTGACCTCAAGCGAACAGTTAGGATTTTATGTGGGCTGAATGTACGCTTTGCAAAGGACGTGAGGACTGTGGACAAAACAAATGTTAATCTCAGGTTCCAGCCGAAATTAACTTGACTGGCGTGTCACTGTCAGAGTGCCTCTGGCCGCCCTTTCTCTTAGAATAATTATGGACACTTTTGTTTAAGATTTTTGCCTGATGAACTCCAAAATCGTGACCTTCTACGTTAGATACAGGATTGCGGAGAACAAAAGCTGCCGAGCACTATTTTGAATGTAGATGTTCAAACGAAGAACAACAGTTCAGCGTTCGTTTTTAGAATTAAAACAGCCACAAACCCAGGCTTTTTGTTTTCATGTTGAGTTGGGGAGGTTTCAGCTTCCTAGCAGCTCTTCTTTGAGAAGGAAACTTAGGATCCTAGAAGAAAGTGGAAGAAGTTTTAAGAGATGGTTTGGCTTCGTACCTTCTTTTCATGTTGGTGATTGGTTTGTAGCTTGAAGATTTGTAAAGGAAAGATTGGTTTCCTAAGTGGCCTATTCTAATATATAAAATCAAATAGAAGCTTTCTTTACATAAGCCTTAGAACAGCTTTTTAGTGACTTCTTTAAAAGCACCCTTTATATTAGGTACAGAGTGTAATTAAATCACGATTTAGCCTTGTTTCTGAATCATGTTTTATTTTTCTTGTATTCATGTCATTTTTATTGAAATGTTTTTGAGTATTGTCTATCTTCACAACTTATAACATTCTCTGCAAGAAAAAACAACATACTTCTTTGGCAATCAAAATTAACTTGTTCATTAAGCAAACTGTTTATTTTTTAATTAAGGGAAGCACATCTAAGTCATCTTGAAATTGGAGATAATTGAGTGATTGCTATAAAAGGATGTTCACAGTAACTTTCTAAGAACTTTTTATCAAATTTTATTTACCAGTTTCACACAAGGTTTTATGCATGTTGTTGTGGGGATCTGCAGAAATATGATACTCAAGGAGCTTACAGTCTAGTTGGGAAACATAAGACCTAAACAGATGAAACGTTAAATAAACAAGGAATAATTGTGCATTCTTATTTCCATCTGAAATCAGTTGTGCCATGGCTCATTATGAATGAAGCTCTTGCTTTCCAACTCCTCCCCAAACCTTGTCCATTTTAGTCAATGTCATTACCATTTATCCACTTGCCATGCCAAGATGGGATTTATCTTTGTTTCTTCTCTTTCATTTCAGCAATCTGTTCTGCCTTTTTAATCCCAAATCCAGGCACTTATCTCCACAACAGTTACTATGGATAAAGCCACTATTTTGTTTTCTGTTTCTGACCTCCTAACTGGTCCTCTAGTTTCCATTAGTTGTCTTTTGTAGAGCCACGCCTGATGATCTTTTAAAAGCAAAAACCATCTTGTTCTCTAGCTCACAATTTAAGATTAGAAGCCAGGTCACTTCTGTCTCAATCTAGTACATTTCAGGGCATCCTACACATGTTGTCCAGGAATCTTGGTAATAATCTATTATAGCTTCAACATAATATAGGTTCTCCTCTATGTGCTTATCCAATCTGATGTAATTACAGCTTTTTTAAACATACTTTTATTTTTGCTTTTTATTATAGTTGTTATACCATTCTACTCTCTAAAATGTCTCTCTCCATTTTCTCTAGGTAATGTCAGCATTTTTCAATGATTGGCTCATCCTGCCTCTTTGACCACCTTCAGCCATATGTGATTGCTTCCTAGTCAGAATTCCCTTGGTTTTTACTTCTTAAGTAATCTAGTGTTTACAAAGTGAATGTATTCTAATGATGCACTCTTACTCTTTCACCAAATTTTTATCGAGGATCTAATATGATTAAGATATTATCTTAGTTACTGTGTTAATTTAATAAGATAAAGTTTCTACCTTACAGACATTGTGATGTATTTGGGGGCTATAGATGGTTAGAATACAATGTTAAAGTATTATGACAAGGAGAATGTGGACTGTCATCTAACGCAAACTAGGAAGATTCTGGAAGATTTTCCAGAGGAAGTAACCCGTATGCTGACACTTGAAAGATAGCAAAGTGTATATATGTTTGGGATTTGGGGGTTTGGAAAGGGATTTTCAGGCAGAGGCAACAGCATGTGCCACAACCTGGCTGTCAGGACGAAAGTGTTACAAGGAACTGAAAGAGTAAATAAAGAGCATGGGTGTGGAGTGTGGTGAGATGAGGGTAGAGCAGTGGCTTTCAAGCTTGTTGACCACTGCCCACAAAAAGGAATGTATTTTAAATTGCAGCCCAATGCACACTATGTATAAATGAAGAAAAAGTTTCATTAAATAATAATTACCTGTACATTGTTCTAGGTTTTGTTGTTGTTGTTTGTACCTTTCTGCTCTTTTTTTATTAGAACTGGTGATGATCCTTTAATTTTACAACTGGCAATATGAAAAGCCCTGGGTTAGAAAAATAAGCAGGGCTTTGAAATTCATTGAGTTTTCCCTAAGAATTCCAGCAAGCCATTAAAGCATTTTAAGCAAAAAAACAAAGAAATGATTGGGTTTGTGCTTAAATTCACTCTGGTAATAGTATAGAGCAGCGGTTCTCAACCTGTGGGTCGCGACCCCTTTGGGATTCGAACCACCTTTTCACAGGGGTCGCCGGGTACTTGTATGTGGGCGTGTCTGCATGTGGGCCTGGAGACAGATAGAGGAGCGGTGTCTCGGTTCCTAAGACCATCGAAAATATGTGTTTTCCGATGGTCTTAGGCGACCCCTGTGAAAGATTGAGAACCGCTGGTATAGAGCATGGATTGAGAAGAGGCATTTCTGGGACGGGGGAGAACAGTTACGTAGCCTTTTCAGTAATTAAGGTGAGAAATGAAGGCTTGAATTAGGACATTGGCAGAGGAGAAGGAGGGAAGTGGAAAGATTAAAGTGATTTAAGAGTTAGACTCAATGATTTTCTCTGGAGGGAAGGGGAAATGACTCTTTTATGGTTATACATATAAGGAACAGATGTGATGGAGGAAGATGATGGACTCAGCCTAAGTACACTGAGTTTGATATCGTTATAGGACATACGAGAGATGATTTCAGAGAGGTAGAAGGCTGCATGTAATCTGATGCCTCGAGAAATCTAGTCTGCAGGGGAACTTTTGATAGTTTGTGGGCCTGTGGCTCGTGCTTGGACAGTGAGGAATGGGTGCGGCCTGAGTTATGTATACCATTGCTTCTCAAACTTGAATGTGCGTGAACCACCTGGCGTCTTGTTAGAAGGTGGAACTAGGCTGGGGTCAGAGATTCTACTTTTCTAACAGACTCCCAGGTGATGTAAGTACTGCTGATCTGCAGATCACTCAGGCTGTACAGCGTAGAACAAGAAAATTTAAAGAATAGATTGAGGAAAATTTAAGAGATAAGCTTGTAAAAGAATCGAGGAAGGAGCAGGCAGAGAAGAAATGAATAAGGAGATAGGTGTTTTGGAATCCAGGAGTATTGTTTGTTGAACATATATTACTTTACCTGTTTTATCAAATAGTTTTGCAGAAGCTTTCTCATGTTGATAAGGATGCTTTTTCTTTGTATTAAATAGAGAGCCGTAGTGCACATGGATGAACACCGAGAAGAACAAATTGTGCAGCTACTACATTCTGTCCAAGCTAAGAATGATAAAGATTCAGAAGCACAAATATCCTGGTTTGCTCCCGAAGATCATGGGTAAGACAAAAGTATTCTTTTAAAATATGGGCAAGGTGTAACATTTGTTTTATAGCATTGGCTAAGAAAAAAAAATAATAAAAATAACATATTTAGACTCTTAAATAAGTGAAAATTAGCCTGAAGTAATTTTTTTGTATATAGATTGAGCATATTTGGTGAAAGGTAAAAAAAAAAAAAAAAATTAGCTGGGATATTCATTTCCACAGGAAAGCTAAATGGTAGGAATGGTCTATCTGTATATGAGATTTATTTGGTTGTTATTTATTCTTCCTACCCATCATCTTTGTATTTCCAAAATTCTTCTGTCAGGGAGATCCACAGAAAGTTAAATTGCTAGTGTTTTAGGAAAATCATAGGAACCTGCATCATTTAGAGAAAAAAATTAGAGGAAATTTTTCTGGGACTGTGTAATGTAGCATCCCATTTGTAGAAAGGGTAGCAGGAAGAAATGAAGTTGTAAAATAAAACAAGGCTCACAAAAAAAGAAAAACACTGTCAGTCATTGCAGTGGAGGAATGCCTATTGTGTATGTGTGTTTGTTTTTTTGTTGTGTTTTTTTTTTTTAAGTTACCACAAGGAAGAACTTATCTAGCATTATCTATTTATAAAGAAGAAAAATATTATCATTATACAACTCTTAAGAATTTTTATCATTGTTCTAAGAGAAAAGAATAAAAGCTTATGCTTTTGAAATAATTAAGCAGCATATTGTTTTGTTTCATGGCCGAAGTGGTTTTTCATTTAACCCTTTATCATTGTTTTTATTTTGTCAAAATAGATATGGTACTGAAGCTCCTGCTGAGAACAAGTCAAACTCAGAGAAGAAATTTCAGGACCAGGAAAAGAAATCAATAAATAAAGAAAAGAGGACATTTAGAATCAAGGACAGTTATATTGACCGGGATTCTGAGTATCTCTTGCAAGAAAACGAACCAGATATGACCGTAGACCAACAGTTACTGGAAGATTTACAAAAGAAAAAAACTGACCTTCGGTATATTGAAATGCAGGTATTGGAAAGCAAGATGTGGAAAAAAAATTTTGTCATCTTTTCTCAAACTTGATAAAAATGTTTTTATGGTTAGAGGTAATTGCATGGTATATAGATCAGTGAGATTCCACAAACAGGCTTTCTCCTATGGGAATTTTTTTTTCCCCCATGAAGAGTAGACAAAAACAACAGGAATGGAATTATACGTAACCTACAGTAGCCTATTTCATCTGCAGCAGCATATATCGTGAGGAGAAGAAATATTTGAATATGGTAGTGCAAATGAAAAACGAAATCACTCTTCAGTTTAACTTTCCGAGGCCAGTTTAGGGAGGCGTCATAAGAGACAAGGTTGTTAGAATTGTACAGTTCCTCCTAGGCCATTTAATGACAACTCCTTCCTCTTACAGATGATAAAATTAAATCCCTCAAAAGTTATATGATACGCTTATTATGTTCAGCATTTTAAAGATAGGACTGTGACAAGAAGTGAAATTCTTCTTAGTTTTTTCAGTATTTTCTTTTCCTGCTAGGCAAGATATTTTAAATGCCCTTTCTATTAAAATGTAAAATTGTATGCTTTCCGGACGTTCCAGAAGTAGATGAAATAAAATAAGGTGAAAATACTGAGGGAATTCTGAGGGTCAGATCTTTAATATGCAAATGCTGCCATTTTTGAGGAAGGCAGAGTATCACATCCTCTGTGGGAAAGAAAGGATGCATTGACTGTTGCCAGTTAATATTGGGCATCCTGATTAGAACAGAGGAGCTGAGGTTGTCCAGAGGCCAAATTGTGTAGCTCTCTGATGCCTGTTGAGTGAAAATATGATACAACAACAGCCGAGATTTCAAGATGAATTAATTCAGAATGCTGTGGTTGAGAATGTTGTGGTTGAGAGCAGGGCTTCTTTTATCCCCTTAGGAACAAGGAGAGTTAGCTACTGTCTCTGTTTACTTTGTATGGAGGACAGAACTTAAGTATTAAAGATGAGTGATCTTGTTTAGAAAAAGTTAGAAGAAATGTGTAAAACATAAAATCAGCTGGGGTGGTTTTCATATTGGCTAGACAGTGTTGTAAATGCTTCACATGTACTACATGATATAAACCTCCCAGACACATAACCCTGTGTAAGAGATTACACGTGTCTGTGAAAGAGATGAGGAGAAAGCATCTTAGGTTCAGTGACTCTAAGGTTGCATAGCTGATAACAGAACCAGGTCTAAAATTCAGATGTCTTTAAGAGCTTGACGCTAATCCTTTTTGGTAATACGCCATATGTTTTCTTATGTTATAATTTATTCAGTAAACATTGGTTTTCCACTTGCTAGATGCCTGTTATTGTGCTATGTTTTATGAAGAGTATTAAGACATTCTTCAGACAGTTTATAATCTCATTACCTCACCTCAGGGTTACCGCCAGAAATTAGGAAATAGAAGGTTTGTCTACCTTGGGCAAGAATATTGGATTGTAATTCTCTTCAGCAGCATTTATATATGAAGAAAGCAAATCTGGTTAATGCTGTTTTCAAATTTAATGGGATAGCTTCTTTATACTTATAACTACATGGGATATTAACATTTTTAGAAATTGTTAAGAAAAGGTTTTTAAATAATTTTAAAGTTATAACAAAAGAAATTACTAAGAAAAGTATGGTGACTTGTTATTTCAAAGTACCGGAATTTATTTAAGTCACCACACTGACTCATTTGTATGGCACTGGTTCAAATTACCTGACCATAACAAGCATGACATGTACAGCATGGTGAATGCACTTAATAATCCTGCATTGTATAGTTGAAAATTGCTACGAGAGTACATCTTAAAAGTTCTCATCACAATAAAAGAAAAATTTATAACTGTGTGGTGCTGGATATTAACTAGATTTGCTGTGGTGATCATTTCACAATATATACAGGTAGAAAATCATTATGTTGTATATATACCTGAAATTACTGTTATGGACCAATTATATCTCAATAAAAAATAGGGAACTTTGACACAGTCTCCATCTTGACAAACCAAGTGGGCCAAAAATTAACGGGTGATGTTTCAAGAAATTTTTAAAAAGTGTGGCGATAATATGCTAGAATTACCTAGGACAGTTTTAATTTTAGGTATTTTTTTTTCCTTTTCAATAAAGGGGGTTTGTTAAAGTTGTGCCTTATTTTTTTATACCACTGAAGATTTTTTTATATGATGTATCTCGTGCAGTGTAAACCATAGTGCTGTTTCTTAGTATTTGTATATGTCATTTTTATGTAGTGTGGGTATGGGGTTCCTAAAAGTTTTTAAAACTAGAAAGAAATTATCATGTAAAAGATACAGGAAGGAATTAGTCACTCCCTCTTTAGTATTCCAGTTGTAATTCACCAAGAATTTGTCAAGTAGCTTATATTTGTCAGAAACTGCTACTTGTTTTTTAAACAAAGGTTTTTCATTAAAATATTTTGGCAGCCCTGAGGTAAAATATTTAAGACTCCAACTTTGACTTAACCAAGATCACAGTTCTTAAAAGGTAGTACCAGATTTTTTTATTGCAGATATTACTTGTTTTAAATTTTCTTTTATACTCAAAGGCAAGTACCCAGAAATAATCTTTGAATCTACTCCAGGGCCTAATGCATTAGTAAGTAGTGGATCTATGAGTAAAAACAATGTGATACAGAAATCAAACCTAAGATGAATATATAAAACAAATAGAAAAAATGCTGAAAGTAACTTAGGGATTGTAAGAATGCTATTAGATGATAGATCAGATTTCGTTTTACTGCTGCTAATTAAGAATGTAATAGAATTCTACTTTTCAGTGTTTCAAAAATAAAAGTGATTGCTAATTCTTTTTTTTATAAAAAATTATTTAAGTTTTGATATTTTACATAAGCTGTGAGGTAATAAAAATGCTTTTGTATTCTAGCTCATTTATTGCTTATGTGGTCTGATTACCAGGATGATAATTTCTTTCTTTTTTTTTTTTTTAAATTTCAGCATTTCAGGGAAAAGCTGCCTTCATTTGGAATGCAAAAGGTAAAATGAATATACACTATTTAATTTGATTCGCAAAATTCTTCTGTACAATATGTTTTAAAATTATATCAAGAAATATAAATTAATGATCCTTTCTCTAAAGGATATTATTGAAGTTCATTTTCTTTTGAATTGTTGAAGGACAAAAAGAAAAAATGGTCGTGAAACAGTTTTCCTGAAGTTTGCTCGTATTTATATCCATAATTGAAATCTTTATTAGAGTTTAAAAAAATAGAATTTTTATGTATAAGTTATTTTGGCAACTTAGGTATTTAAAACTTGCTTTTATTTTAATTATTTGAAAGCACATTATCTTGAAATAAATTATACTCTTCCTTATTCTTTAAAACAGTATGTAAAACTTGTCCTGCAGATGAAGCTATTTTTATGGATTATGATAAAAATCCTTAATGTCCTCAGTAGTTGTTGATGTATCAGGATTTGCCTTGTACTCAATAGCCCCACATGTTAACATTCTAGAATTTTTAATTAACGTTAATTCTTATGCATGGAACTTGTGAGCTGTCTCTTTTTGCTCTTACAAGTGTGTTTTCTTTAACAGTGCCTTGGCTCTGTTCTTTTAATAATTTGGTGTTTCTTAGCTCTTGAAACCTGGTAGATCTAGATAGCCAAACTGCCAGCATTACGTGTAACAACATTTAAACAGCATTAATACTTGTTAGAAGCAGCTACCTTTGGTTTAGTAGAATTTTGATAACTATCTTTTCAAACTTAGTCGACATGTGACGTCCTTCACTTATTTTTCCTTTTGCAATAGGAATTGGTAAATATGATCGCTAATCACCAAGTGATAGTAGTAAGTGGTGAAACTGGTTGTGGAAAAACCACTCAAGTTACTCAGTTCATTTTGGATGACTACATCAAAAGAGGAAAAGGATCTGCATGCAGGATCGTGTGTACTCAGCCAAGAAGAATTAGTGCCATTTCCGTAAGTTACCTCTCACTTTAAAATCCCCCGCTTTATTTTCCTTTTTCCTTTGGATAGTCTTGCTAGTAGCATTTTTTTCACTCATTTTCCCAAGACCTGTTGGTTTTGAATGAGCACTTTAATAAAGTAGTAAAAAGTGAAATAATGGTCTGAGTCAGTGTATATGGACTATACTGATTGGGAAATTTTACTTCTGAAATATTCTATAAATCAGTTTTGTCATTTTTTGTTTCTAGCCTCATTTATCACTGATCACAAGAAGACTGTTGGTCACTTTTAGTTCCACAAATTTATATTGATTATAATAACATTTCATCTATCCAGAGTTTATCTTTGGCAGCCATAACTTTCAGAGCACAAGAACTAGAAATTAAGAAACACCAGTCTCTAACAAAAAGAAACAAAAATTTTCTTTAATCAAAAGGTATTTACTCTTGAATTACATGCAAGTTTTACAAGTTTAGACCATGATTTCCATCTCTTTTAGAAAAGACCGAGGGAGAAAATAATGCAAGGATGCTATATAGAAAGGTACTTTGAAAATAGTGACAAGAAGAATTTTGCCTTGGAGGGCTTCTATAAGAGGAAATGAAAAGTAAGCATAAGAAGCAAGTGGTCTGTAGCTCTTAAGGGACACACAGTGTTAGAGACCTCAGAATTTAATATCTTTTTTTTTAAACTCATGAAAATGGAATGAACAGTTTTTTAACAATCCCAGATTTTCATGGATATTCAGGATATTTATACTGAAGCAAATTCTATTTTCTTGTAACTGTCTTTTATTTTAATTAAAGGTTGCAGAGAGAGTGGCTGCAGAAAGGGCAGAATCTTGTGGTAATGGTAAAAGTACCGGATACCAAATTCGTCTCCAGAGGTAAAGAATGTTCACATCTTGTTTACTGTGAGATTTTAGTGAAAATTTGAAGCTGGAGATTTTCCCTATTTTTATGCTGATTATTACAAATAAAGTTAACATTTAAAGTAACTGAAGCATAGGAGGCTTGCAACCCACAAAGTCGTTTTTTTAACCCAAATTCAGATTTGGATTGCCATTTTGATGCCTTTTACGTTAAGGAATGATTAGAGAAATAACTTCTTTCCTGGACATAAGTTAGTAGACCATCACCCGTCGGTTTCCGATAGCACCACCCAGCCCTTGACTGACTATGGATTTTGGTATCTTTAACCCTCTATCCCACGCCACTGTATTTCATTTAGCACTTTTCTGGAGCTCAGTATCCCAATTAGCGTTTTAAATCAACTGACTTTCTAGTCACTGAACAGAAGGTTAGGCCCCTAAAAATGGATCGTTTTCTGAATATGAATGGTTATGCCTTTAAAGAGAAATTATTAACATTGTATCATGACAACAAAAATAATGTATAATGAACTTGAATGTAGTATTTCTCATTACTCTATTGTGGTAGGCATTTCTATAACTAAGAAATTAAGTATGAAGGTATTCATTATAACTGTAAGCATTTTTTTAAATTGAAGATTTTCTAACCTTTTGTGGTACTTAGTAATTTACTAGTAAAGAAAACCAGGAATTATTAACTCATGTCTTTCATTCACAGTCGTTTGCCAAGGAAACAGGGTTCTATCTTATACTGTACGACGGGAATCATCCTTCAGTGGCTCCAGTCAGACCCGTGAGTATGTTTCAGTTCAGGACATTTAGTTAAATATTATCAAAAGATGTAATGATTAAATTGGATGTCATTGATTGTTGAGGTAAAATGGTTCCTTTTTTAAATTTCATGCTGAGTTACATACTTCACCATACTTCTGCTTTAGGCATTTGTCCAGTGTTAGTCATATCGTGCTTGATGAAATCCATGAGAGAAATCTACAGTCAGATGTTTTAATGACTGTTATTAAAGATCTTCTCAGTTTTCGACATGACCTGAAAGTAATATTGATGAGTGCAACATTGAACGCTGAGAAATTTTCAGAGTATTTTGGTGAGTAAAATTTATGATTGTTGCTTTACAAAGTTATCACTAAGCCATTGGATTTAGAGTTAATTTTTTAAACTAACACAGTGCTAGGCACTGAGTAGTCAAAATAAGTATTTAGCATTTCATTTATTTTAACATTTTCCTAGTCTCATAGAGAATTGGGCTTAATGGCTGGCTCATCCCTGTTCTTGTAGTGAAGACATGTAGCTTTTTGGTGCTACCACTAGATAATTAAGGTGGCATCAATGAAGTCAAACCACAGATTTGAATAATTTTATAAACTTTTTTTGTGATCCTTCTACGGCTTTAATGTACTATCACAGACTAGGGTGGCAGTTGGCTAATAACAGTAAGTGATACTAGTGACCACTTACGGAATACCTTCAAGGTGCCAGGGTGGTATGTTTAGCACTTTGTCTTTATTAATTCTTAGACTACCTTTTCAGGCAGGTGCTACTGTTTCATTTTTACACATGAGAAAATGGCCTCAGAGCAGTTAGGTAGTTTACCCAAGATTGCATCATTAATAGAGGGCGAGGGGATTTGAAACTAAATTTGACTAGCTGCAAAGTAGTACGTAGTACCTTCTTTTTAAATTCTGCCTCACTGTCTCTCCTGCTTATTGGAGAAGGAAGGGGGAAATGAGGGAATTAAGATGAAATACATGTTACTATATTCAGCCCAATATAATACATGTTCTTGTGTTCAGCCTGGTTGACCCTCAAAGCCTTGTGGATTGGTTGAGTATATTATGTCTTTTTTGTTTTGCGATGAGGTATCCAGAACTAACATTGAATAACTTACTCCAGCTTATGCAAGTCAGATACTTTGACCTCCTCCACAGTGTTGACCTTTGTTTACAGTGTGTGCTGTTTGTTTTGTTTGGTATAAAAATAACATTTAAAAAACAGTATTAGGAAACTTTTTTTAAACTAATGATTCTAAAATAGTAAGTAATATTTGGTTAGGTCTTGTTTTAACTACTTTTTCTAATTTTGGTGCTGCAGAAGGAATGCTTTATATGTAGATTTCAATAAAATCTGCATAGCACCATCTTGGCTAATGATGATGAGAAAATAACTTCTAACAGTTTTGAGTCCAATTTAAAATTCTCTGTTCTTTGGTATTGGTTACTTTGTACAACTGTGAGATACGTGTATAATTTGGTAGTAATGAAATGATACTGAGTGAAGACTGGATTTGCTGCTTTTATTGAAGTAGATATGGAAAAATAAGGTAGAACTGTAAAAGTTTAAGACCATTTTCTGAAGTTAAAAAAAGTAATAGACTTGTCCTATTTGTGATCTGTTTATTTTTATTTTGAACATTTGGGTACAGACTTATGTTTTATCACCATAATAGGTAACTGTCCAATGATACATATACCTGGTTTTACTTTTCCTGTTGTGGAGTACCTTTTGGAAGATATAATTGAAAAAATAAGGTGAGTAAATATTAGGAAAAAATAGGTTAAAAAAGTACTAATATATCACCCTTCCCACAAACTAGTCTTAGAAACTCACTCTAAACTCACTGCCTTCTAAAATATTGTTTTTCCTTAAATCAGGGATGTCCAAACTTGGTTGCAAATTAAAATCCTCAGAGAATGTTAAGGGCTGGCCAAGTGGCTCAGTTGGTTAAGAGCTTGCTCAAGAGTTTGAGCTCTGAGCAACAGCGGTTTGAGTCCTGGCCCGGCCTGAGCTGAGCAGCCGCTGAGCTACCAACAGGTAGCAGGATGGTTCAGCTAAAAAAAAAAAAAGAATGTTAAATTCCAGATGCCACTTTCACACTCCCTACCGTAATTACATTCCAAAGTCTGGGCTGGTATCCAGGCATCAGTATTTGTGTAAACGTCCCTGGGCATACACAGAACAAACTGATGGTTGCCAATTAGGGACGGGGGTAGGGGGGCTTGGTGAAAAAGGTGAAGGAATTAAGAAGTACAAGTTGGTAGTTACAAAATAGTCACAGGATGTAAAATACAACCTAGGGAATATCGTCAATAATATTGTAATAACTGTGAATAGTGCAAGGTGTGTACTGGACTGATTAGGGGATCACTTCGTAAATTATGTGAATGTTTGACCACTATGCTGTACACTGAAACTAATATAAAATAATGTTGGATGTCAAACAAAATAGAGTCCTGGGCAGGCAGCAAAGCTGGGGAACCTGTCTTCAGGGCCTACAACTCACTTCCAGCCCTCGTACCTGGGTTTCACTCTCCTCGCACTTCTGTTCCCACCTTTTAAGCATAATTTCCCTGTAGGGGTCTCAGCCTTTTCTCAGTCTGTTGTGATTTCACTGTGCGTCCTGTTTCCATGATCGCACTTCTGTATTGTCACAACTTTCTGAACTATAGCCTCAAAACTGAAGCTCTTCTGAAATGTAAACTTGTTGTATAACTCTATACTCAGAAGCATTCCGGAACCACAGATACTTAGAACCTCACATTTTTAAAACCAAAAACCATTATCTTATATCCCATTCCCATCGTGCTTCCACCAAAAAAATGAAAGCACAACAGTGTTGTTTTGTTCAGTATGCCTTACAATGCTTGCTGATATTGTCTGTCCATCCAGTTGTCTAAGCTATAAATTTAAAAAGTAATATTTTTATCAAGAAGTTATGTTCTAGGATAAGTTACCAGCTTACATGTTTAGTCAGTCTTTCTGTTCTCTCCCCCGCACCCCCCCCAAGACAAACCCTGAGAGCATTCACCTTGAAAATGTCTTCTCATTTTTATTTCTTCTACTTAAGTCCCTTATCATGTCTCCTCTGCTAATAAAACAGTTCCTCTTTTGGCACTGTGGTCTTCACTCTCGCAACTGCTGCTATATATTTTCCTAAAAAATCTGGTCATGTGAGCTTTCTCCCCCTAGGCAAGGCCCTTGAGAGTTTCCTGTTGTTTAAGAACCTTTATTGGTTTATTGCAGTCTATAGCAGAGCACCTCACTGGTATGCCCAAGCCACTGATTCCCACAAAGCTCTGGCCATTAGCTACTTGCAGTCTTCTTCAAAGGGGTGTACAAGATTGTATTTGTATTTTGATGAGAAAAGCTCTGGGAAAGCACAGCCCCAGAGGATCAGGTTCCAGTTCCATACATTGTTCTCTCAAGGCTCGCTCTTTATAGTCTGACCCCATCCTGTTCTCGCCTTACTCATCTTAAATGCACCATTCTCTGTCGTTCCAGCACATGCCTTTTTATTCATGACTTGGTGCTTTGCTACATGTTATTGCTGCCTTTTAGATGTACATTTGCCTCCTCCTTTCCATCCTTTCATCTGTAAACTGTTGATTATGTAAAAGCTAATCCCAGGGTATTGCTCATTAGGCCTTCTCTGATACCTCTCACAGAATGAGTTGCTCTCTTGTCTGGACTCCCGTAGCACCTTATCATGTCTCTTACCACACTGACTTTATTAACCACGTAATGTATCTCTTTATATTTGTCTTTTGCACTAGGTTTTCCATTTTTCAAGGTCAAGGATTTTGTCCTATTCATCGTTGTAACTAGTGCATAGCACAGTGCCTGGCTTATAATAAACATCTTAAGTATATGGGTTGATGTAAAATACTTGGGATGAGATTTTTCAAGATTCCACAGCTTACTTGTTAAATGAGAAAAGAAAGAAGTGATAGTGGGAAGGTGAGAGGAAAGATCCTACTGTGTATTTTACGTGGAGAAAAGTCAGCTGAATTTTGAGTAGGGTCTGAGCCTAAAACAAGGAAACACTTGGTACATGCCCTCACAACTTAATATCTAGACAGAGATGTGTGTATGCTGTTATATATAAGGTATGACTGACCTGTTCTGGGAAGTAGAGTTTGTTAGGAATAGGATTATATAGCAGGGATAGGCTTGCCAAGTCAGGAAAGCAGTGAAATTCAGAGTAGGAAAGAGGGAAGTGTATGTCAGAGAGGGTGGCACATACTAAATGTGAGGTAGAGTGTTCTGGTTTTATCATCAATGCCTATAAAATTTTATGCCTGCCCTCAATTCCACTTTCTACCTTGTGTCCCTACCACAGCACATTCACCAGTTGTTTTCTAAGAGAATAATAGCCAACAGCTTAACAATAATGAAAACAAAGTTTCAGAGATCAGTATGTAAAAGTACATAAAGATCAGCTGCTTTCCTAAGCTCCCTAGAAGGCACGTTATGTACAAGGAACTGTAGCTAAAGGGTCTCTTGAAGCAAAAGGATGGTATCGATTCACCCCGTCGATTGGTAGCTGTCCCTAAGAGGGGAGTTGAAGGAGGGCGGTCCTTGGATAGAAGTTTTCTGCAGAAACCCCAAGCTATCCCCTTCTCAGAAGAGCTGCACTACAGGGAAGTAGGGAAGAAACTAGAGTGAGATGATACAAAGGGTTGTGACTGGGCCCTTGGGGTGGGGGTCGAAGGTTACCTCTGTTGTTGGTATTGTTGGGAAGGGGAGCCAACTGTGTGTCCATCCTGCTGACTAGGACTAATCTCTGTCTCAGGTTGTCCTACCTCAAGTTGGTGACTCTATATGTATGGACGACTTTAGGGGAACCCTGGGTCACAGGTACTGAATAGGGAAAGGGATGAACACTTTTTGGGTGTCTGCTGTATGTCTGCTATATGTCAGGCACTGTGCTTTTACTCAATCCCTTTTTTTGTTTTTATTCTTATGCTAATACTGTTATAAGGGTAATAAGCTCTCAGAAACTAAAGGCCAGAGATTCATACAGCTAGTCAATGGCAAAGGAAGGACATCATTCCCATATTCTGAATCACAAAGCCCATGCTCCGTACCCCCTCCCCCCCAGGTGAACTCTGAGGAGCTTTGGCATTCAAGTTCAGGTTCATTTTTCTTTGTCCACCCCCATGCTTCTCAGAACCTATTTATAGTAGGTGACATTCTTGGGCAGATGTGTCCTGCTTCTAGCAGTCACTGCAGCATGGTGGAGTCATAGTATATATAACATTGGATAGACATGAGATTTGAATACTGATCCTGGCTCTGCCGTTAGCTGTGTCTGTGGGCCTGAGCAGAATTAATACAGTTCTCAAGTCTGGGTCTGCCGATCTATAGATACACTATCTGAATCTCCTGGAGCACTAATTAAATTCCTGGATTAGCAGACCCCAACCACACTTGAATTCAAATCACAAGGTATAGGATTTAGGAATCTATATTGTACAAACTCTTGTGCACTCAGTTTGGAAATCTATACGTAAAACCTGAGACTTCTGCTAGGCAATCATTAACTATTGTGGACTTAATGCTAACTTTTCTTTTAGAGCAAACTTAAAATTGAAGGTGAAAGGTACTCTAATGTTTATTTTTTCATTTTCATTGCTGAAGATGATCTAGAGATGTATATACTTCTATAGGGAACAATGATTTTTATTCAGAATGTCAGATTTTATGTTAGTGAATACTTGCAAATTGATACTTAACTAGTGCCCATTAGAAATTATAGTGAAAATGTTCCTTAAAATCTTCTTGAAAATTCTAAATGTAAAAAGTCATAGATAATAGGTAAAACCAGAGTTTCAAAAAAGTGAAGCTATTTAAGAAGGTTTTTATTTTTAGATATGTTCCAGAACAAAAAGAACACAGATCCCAGTTTAAGAGGGGTTTCATGCAAGGGCATGTAAATAGACAAGAAAAAGAAGAAAAAGAAGCAATCTATAAAGAACGCTGGCCAGACTATGTAAGGGAACTGCGGAAAAGGTAACTTATATTTTGTTTGAAAGTGAAAACACAGTGACTAAATAACTAAAACAAAAAGGAGGATTATCTTCTTGAATTTGTACGTATTTGAGGAGACCATCACAAGTTTCCTATTCCAGCTAAATACTTTGCTAATTTGACTTGTAGACACTGTTAATATTCCATAAATTCTCTCCTGTCTGTTGATTCCCCCATTTGCAGGTTAAGTTACTTTTTAAAATTTATAGAAAGTTAAACCTTAGGAAATGTTACCCAGTATTTCATGATTTTCTATTTAACTTTGATAGGTATTCTTCAAGTACTATAGATGTTCTGGAAAAGATGGATGATGAAAAAGTTGATCTGAATTTGATTGCTGCACTTATTCGATACATTGTTTTGGAAGAAGAGGTTAGTTTTGTTTTCTTCAAGTAGCATAGTTTTAATTTTATTTACATATCAAGGCCATGAAAAAGAAAAAAAATCTTAAATGCTTTTTAAAAAAACATAGCCTATGGAAGAAATTGCTTTTAGGAATAAATCTCAAAATACCAAAAGATTTAGATATTTGACCTATTTGAAGAAAAGAATGAACAAATGAAATCTCTGGTTTATAAATCCTATTTTTAAAAAACAAGCTTGTACTTTTTAGTTTTAATCAGTAACCAGAATTAATCCCGAGCTAGTATAATTTTAATGAAGACTTAAACATGCACACATTTTTACTCTTGGTGTATGTTTGTTTTGTGATCCTTTATAATGATTGTTTCCCCTCCATTCAGGATGGTGCCATATTGGTGTTTCTACCAGGCTGGGACAATATCAGCACTTTACATGATCTCTTGATGTCACAAGTGATGTTTAAATCAGGTATTATAGAAACATATTTTACTCCATTCCAAGAGTGGTACTTGTAGCCTGTTTTTTTTTCTTTCATTTGCAGAAGTGTTGCTTCTAAGGCCACCTATGTGTAAAAACTTGGTGGCCTTAGCCCAGGTTGGGTTTTTTTCAAAAGCTGGATTTTTTTTTTTTTTTTAAGATTTTATTGGGGAATTGGGGGAGGGGAATAGCGTTGGGGCATTGGGGAAGGGGAACAGACAAGTTGCTGTCCTTTTGTTCTTCAGTCTAGTTGTGGAGGACGTTGCTTCACTGGTCCATGTTGGTATTATCTTTGCGCTCTTCCCGGGTGAGGCAGATCGTTCACCGGCCTCTGGACGGCCACTCATGGCAGCTCTTGGCAGCTCACACCGGTTGCCAGCTGCTCATGCTGGCTGCCAGCCACACATGGTAGCTTATGGCATCCTACTGTGGCTTCACTGCAGCCTAATGCCTTCACCTCAGGGCTGCCCAGCTCCAGGTTGAGCTGTTGTTCAGCATCTTAGCTGTGGAGGGCAGTGTCACTGGCCCTCATATGTGGGATCTGAACAGGGGCTCTCTGGCGTCTCAAGCCAGTTCTTAACCAACGCGCCACTCGGCCGGCCCTGGATTACCCCCCCCCCCCCAATGAAGTTCACAGATGAAGATGGTAGGTATGTAGTGAAGTTATTTATTTAGTATTACGGTGAGAACATTATCCCTTTCTTCCTACATTTGCCTAATAAAATTGAGCCCTTAGAGTTAAGATGTTGGCATGTGAGGAGTTTTGTTTTTTTCACTCACTGCTACATTTAGTTGGGCAGAAAAGAAGTATGAATTTATCTCTTAGCCCAGTGATTCTCAGTTCTGCTTATCCAACAGAGTCACCCATGGCTCTTCTTTAAAATTCAGTACCTGATCCATCCTCACCTCAAATTTAAGAATGTGACCTGAACACCTGAAGTTCTAAAAATTCCTGAGGTGATTCTGATGCTTGAACAGCATGTTTTGAGAGACATAACCTCTCATGCCTTAGAGAAATGCATGGGGACATTTTTCCTCTATAAAATTCAGTTAATGCATTATCAGGTGTTATTTTTAACTTCAAATCAGTAAAATACAAAGCAAATTCTATTTAGTATTTTATAATTCTGAATATAATTCTAACTTTACCCTGTTAAAATACTTTTGACAAATTTTAATTTTATAAAACACTAAAAAATATTTTGATCTAATTGTATTGGCTAAAATAGTCAAAGGTGTATTTTTTATTCTTTGTTAAGTCCTATTATGGTAGTGCCCTCAAAGCATTCTCTATAATTAAAATTATTTACTCTTTTCAAGTTGGAAAAATATTTTTATCTGATTACCATGACCTGTCTATAATGAAATACTGCTTTTCCTTCTAAGTGGTCACCTTTCTGGATAGAAAAAGCATAGTCATCATTAATCTCTACAGTGAATTATTGGGTTGTCGGAAAAGTCATGACATATTTTTCTGTTTTTCGTTGCAAAAATGAGTCATGACTTTTCCAACAATCTAATATTTTCTTAAACAACTGAAATGGTTTTATTTTTTTGGCTGAACCTTCCAACTTTGGCCTCTTTTTCTCCCATCATAAACACTACTTATGGTCTACTTTCAGTTTTAAAAAATATGCTTGTGTTTATATATTTACCAAGAAAATTACAGCTAAGATCTACCGTATTTGCCGGCGTATAAGACGACTGGGCGTATAAGACGACCCCCTAACATTTCCACTCAAAATACAGAGTTTGTTATATACTCGCCGTATAAGACTACCCCCTCTTCCGCACACCTTCCACACACCAAATAAAAGGTAAAACAATATCAGATTTGATTTGGCCCACTGAAGTGCAAACAAGCGTATTGTATTTCGTGTCACCACATAACCGTTTTGGCGATGTTGAGCCACCATGTCTGCTACATGTTTTTCGAGTTCTGGCCAGTGTGGGGTGCCTCTTCTTAATGCACACTTACCCCTTGGCATACTCTTTAATGCTTTCTCATTTGATTTCCAGTCCCGAACCATCTTTTCTGTTACTCCATATTGTCTTGCAGCAGCACAATTATTAATTTTCCTTAGCAAAGTTTATAACTTTCAGTTTAAAATTTGCATCATACTTCTTTCTTTTGGCTGGTGCCATGATAGGGATGATAGGGGTTTGACTGGTCGACATTTTCTATGCTGTACTGTACAATGGTGCAGTATTGTGGTTGGCTGTTGGCTGTATACAAAGCCTGATTTGATTGGTCCCTGCTCCCTGTTTGCCCGCCCTGTCACTATAGCAGTCTGGTCCACCCTTGCATCAGCATCTCCCTGGGACCTCACTAGTGCGCAAGTGCGAGCTCTTCAACATTCTAACAGGCACCATGATAGCGCAAAATCGCGAATCTTCAATGCATATGTAAAGAAATATACGGTAACCCGAATTTACCACACTCGCAAAATCGCACACAGCCGAGCATACACCCAGCAGCGCTGCTGATGCCTGAACGGTATGTGGAATGAAGTGGGCGGGCATCGGGAGGCCACTATGGCACGGGGCAAGCACTATGGGCAGTCTATCTGAAGTGTACCTGGCGTATAAGACGACCCCCCACTTGGAGGCATATTTTTCAGGGCCAAAAAATCGTCTTATACGTCGGCAAATACGGTATACCAAAATGTAATATTATCATTTCTGGGGGAGTGAGGAAAGGGTGTGATATTCTAGATTATAATTGACTTCATTAACTTTCTGATTTAAGTTCATTATTTTCAAGAATGGAAGTATTAATTTATACTTTCACCAACAGGTGAATTTCTTCTAGAGGAAGTCTTTCAAAAATTTAACAAGGGTCTTTTTTTTCTCAAATTATGTTTTTAAAATTTAGCCTTATTAATCAGCTGTACAGTATAGAAGGGGGAAAATTGGTCAAACTCTATGTACTGACTGAGAAGTAAATCTTGATACTCAATTTATCAATTGCTTATCAACATTCTTATAAGAGCATAGACTTTGTTCCTGTTCATGACTCATTATGTAATATCAGCATTATAAACTATTTTTATCCCAATTACATTGTCTTCAACAAAATTGTTTTTACTTTTATTATTCCTGCCTGCTCATTTTTTTAACTTTGTAATGAAACATTTTAAACTTACAGAAAGCTAGAGAAATCATATGACTACCATAAAGCAATGACTTCAGTGCAAAAATTATTTTTGTCTACTTTTTTCCTTTTTAAAGTAAATTGTAGCTGTCACATGTTATCTCTAAATGTATAAGCATGCATTTCTAAAAATAAAGACAATTCCTTATATAACCACAATGCTGTTATATCATACCTAATCTTTAATATCATCTAATAATTCAGTCTATAATCAAGTTTCCCTATTTTTCCCCCCAGGTGTCTTTCACAACTAGGTTGTTCAAACTATAGAAAAAGTTAAACCAGATTAACCTTTTACTCTAGTTTTAGAACATCACTCCCATCTTCTTCTTACTTTTCCCCACGGTAATAATGACTTATGGAATTTTCTGGATTTGTCTGAATTTTTATGGTGTCATTTTATTTGATCCTCTCTTACCTATATTTCCTAAAACTGGAAGTTTTATATCAAGGCTTGATTCAATTAGCTTTTTGCTTGAGTTTTGATTGAGTTGATGTATTTCATACTGTGTAACACAAGTAATTCAGAGCATTCTTTTTTAGCAATACCAATTGCTTGACAGCGTTTTATTACTTTTTAAGTTCAGAGGGATCATAGAGAGTCTATAGGGGGCATCGTATCTCTTGAAAACAACAGTTCTTTTCTGGGGAAATATAGCTATCTTAAGTTCTTTGGGCACTGTTCCTAGAGATTTAAATTAGGTTGCATTTTTTTGTAACCACAGCTAAACTTGAAATTTATCATTGCCTCTTTAACACTCAGCCCCCTTCTCATCACTGTGCTACATGAAACTTTTTATTAGCTAATAATCATGAATGGGCTATTTCATTTTGAAATTTAAAATGTGAATATAATTTATATTCCTAACAAAACTATGTTTAAAAATGAGGGTCACTTTTGGAATGTATTACATTTAACCGGTGCTATTTATTTTTAAGTAGGACATGGAAATTTAATAAGTAATTTGCTTTAAAATTTTAAACATTCTGTGTGTTTAAAATAATGAGGGCTATCCAAAGTACAAAGTTACATTCATATTAAGCAAAATTCTTTGGTCTTTAATTAAATAGTGGAAATGGAGTTAATGATGCTTTTCTAGTATAATTTGAAAACATTGCCTCCAAATTTTAAGCTTTCTAAGAATTTTGGGAATATGCTAAGCTAACAATAAAATGTTGACAGTAACTTATCAGAGCACTCAGAAAACAAGAACATGAGAATAAAGTGGCTCTGATTATATGTAAGAATATAAATTAAGAATTATGTGGCTTAGCATCTGAATTTGTTATTCCATATATATGTCTTATGGAGCTTTTCTGCAACTATCTTAAAGTTTAATTTTCCTTTTAATTTTCAGACAAATTTATTATTATACCTTTACATTCACTGATGCCTACAGTTAACCAGACACAGGTATGTTGTTAAATTTATTCATTCTGTCTTAAAGGACTGCTAATTGCGTGTTTTATTTTATTATTATTTTTATTTTTAAGGCATATTTTCAAACAGTAATCCATATAAAAAATACTTCTTTAAGAACCTTTCCAAATGAGTCTTCAGGGGATGATTTTACAAAAAGTTAAATAAGAGGGTAATCCACAAATCAAATTAGTTTTATCAACATTAGGGAAAAGTTTAAAGATTGGTTTTACCAATAACTTGTTTGGGTTTCCTAAATAAAAGAAGAAAAGGTTATGTAACTACCAATAAAAAAACTCAACCTAGAAATGAAATACCTGTGACATACTATAGCTTAATATTTGAAATTTTTATTTAACAGAATTAGTATATTTGCAGGTAAGAGATTTCCTGTTTTGTCAGTATGTTATTGTGGTTTTGAATATTTTGGCTCTGCCAGATTCAGGGATTTCCCTAGTTAGAATGAACAACTGCATTCTCAAAGGCAAGGGAATTTTCTGGACTGTAGTGTTTGCGGGCCTTAGTGGAATGTGATGGATCAGAAAATTTACCTCTCTTCCCTTCTAGTTTTTCCACTCTTTTTGTAAGACAATTCAACACATTTTTTATTGAGACCCTTTTAATATCCTTTCTGCTGGTTCCTTAGTACTGAGTAAGGCTCAGCCCCCTGAGTTAGATATAGAGCACGTACCCGAGGAAAGAGAAGAGGATGCAGAGAACCGTTGATTCCAAAGACCGGACAGCAGGGTGTCCAGTGTGAAGGCACTTTCATCCCTGACACCCTAACAGTCAATTAGGTATTCCTTTGCTAGCGAATGTGTAACAAGACTGGGAAACAACGTTTCTCTATTATTTTATACTATATAAGATAAATTTATGCTTTTTTTTTTTTTTTTGCTTTACAGCCAAGTGGTACTTGGCTACATGTCTTTTCATCTATTTGTCAAGAGTGGAATTTTTTATAGGATACAGCATTTGAAGAGGATTTTGTTTTTTAATCTAATTTCATTTCAAAAACCACTGTAAATGGTACATCCAGCTACTATCCATTCTGATGAGTTGGGCATCTTCCTGGTTGATTGGCGTCTTTACCCATGTAGTTTTGGGTAATTCATAATTCTTAAACTAAATTCCTCTCCCTTCCTTAAATGTTTGACTGGACAATAACGTGTTTATACTCGCCAGTTTTTAAAAACATTCTTTAAATTTAAATCATATTTCATTTAAAATTTTGTTTCTGACATCTGTGGAGATTTACATTGGTTTACCAAAAAGAAATTTTGTAGTATTGAAAATGATGTATACCTTATAAATACATCTATAAATGTTAGATATATACATATGTCAACAAATGAACACAGAATGCTGAAATAGAACAGTATCTGAAGTAATTCCTCTAATTGTAAGAGTGATGTATCAGAAATTAGTGTACTTTTGGAGTTTTGATGTATTTATTCTTACAGGTGTTTAAAAGAACCCCTCCTGGTGTTCGGAAAATAGTAATTGCTACCAACATTGCAGAGACCAGGTAAAAATAGTTTTTAATATCAACCTAGTGATTACATTAGTTTTGAGCTTAATAAATTATTAACATACCTTAATCTTTTCTTCTTTACAAAATGCTTTGTAATTTCTTGAAAATAAATTTGTGTAAATTTCATCATGGTAGTGAACATAGGTTTATTTTTTTGTTGTTATTTAACCTATACTAACATTTTAGTCGTCTTCAGAAACAGACATTTTAAGTAGTGTTTTTCAAACCTTTCCTAAAGAACCATGGAGGCTGATGTCGTTTTTTTTTCTTTTTGCCTTTTGTTGGTTGGGGATGGAATTGTTTGGTAATTTGGCAGTTATTTATACACAGCCTTTAAGATGTATTGTATTCTCTTGGAGGTACTAATATACCAGTACAGCACTGCAACAGGTTGCTCTGTGGAAGCTGATACTAAACCATGGCATGCGGGGCTGGCGGGGAGGCGCACAAAGCTAGGTACAAAAGTCATCACACAAGCTGTGAAGTCTGGCTGTGGACAAATAAGAATTCAGCACGTCATTTGCAGAATTGGCTCTGTGCTGCCACTGCAGCTGCTCAGGGCCTATGATGAGGTGCTTAATCCCATAACACTGCTAAATGTGGGGAGAGTGGTGAAAATCCTGAACTGCTAAAATCGATTTCCAGTAAAAATGCTCTAAAATCCCCATCTGTGGGCCTGTTATAAATTAATGTGCGTTTGATGTGTTTTAATACTTCACATATCTCTTTTCCAAACAGCATTACCATAGATGACGTAGTCTATGTGATAGATGGAGGCAAAATAAAGGAGACACACTTTGACACACAGAACAACATCAGTACAATGTCTGCTGAGTGGGTTAGTAAAGCGAATGCCAAACAAAGGAAAGGTCGAGCCGGAAGGTAAGATGGGACCTTTGCCTGAAACCTTTAGAACACAACATTTTATGTAGTAAAATGTGTTGCTGGCATTTAAAAATATTACTTATTAAGAGTTGCCTTTCATATTTTTTAAAACTTACTGTAGCACATTTTTAAATGTGAAAGTTGTTTGAATCATAGTTTTTTTGGAATTCTGTTTCATGATTTTTCTACCTCTTATTTCTCAATCCAGTTAATTAAAATTAATGTTCTTAATTCTTATTAGTTATATTACCTATATATTTTTTCTTAAAAGCATATATTACTAATGATAAAGGTAAACTACTAACACTATTTGAATGTCAGGTCATCTCCTAATCACACTGTATATATTAAGTTGCTTAATCTTTACCGCAATGCTATGAGGTAGGTTATTATCTCTGTTAAGGTAAAGAAATAAGGGTACAAAGAAATTAAGTGATCCGGTTAAAGTCACACAGCTTTGTAAGGAGCCGAGCCAGGATTTGAACCCAGGCAGTGTGGTTCCTCAGCCTGGCCTCCTAATTTCTGTAATTTACAGCTGTACTGGTTGTTCACTGTTAGTAACTAGTGAAAACACAGGGAAACTACCTTTTTCCCATTGATGTAATGGCGCATAAGAAATAAAAATATTGTGTTAATGGGAGGAAAATGATTGGCCTTTAACCCAAGTAATTGCACTTCTTGTTCACTTTCATGCATACTTCACAGTATTTTTACATCCTCATTCATGTGCATGGTAGGATCATATCTGGAGTCGTAGAAGAGAGGTTTTCTTTTCCCTCTTACAGGTAGAATTAAAAGATTCCCATTAGTCTTCAGGTACTGGCTTAAGAAAGAGAAGGAGAGTTGAAGAAAACTTTACAGACCATTTTAAGTTGGTAATATATAAAGTTCTGACTCACTTGCTATAATCTTTGCAGATTATCCCAGTATAACTTGACTTCCACGTAGTTTATTAGATTATGCAATTGATGCTGTTAAGCCAAAGTCATGGCTTAGTCCAAGTGTGCTATTCTAATCAGTTATGAGAGGATAACTTGACTGGGGACCCAGTAAGACTAGGGTCTTTTCATGCAGACCTGTCACACCACTGGTTACTGATTTAGAAAAGTATTCACCACAGTAAATGGGTTTTGGCATACTTTTATATATGAATAGTACGTACAGCAGGCCTTAAGTTTGATCCATGAAACAATTATGGAAATCAATTAAATGAAGTATGTATTACCTTTTATCTAACTCTTTATCTCCACTATCCTCATGGAAGTTAACTGTGGAATTAACAGTGTTCTAATTCAAATGGAAAATGGTCCCTTCTAGGCTCCATAGATGTAAATTCTTGTAGCAAAGCCTAATTAGATTGGTAATTATTTTGAAGGAGAGAACAACTATATTATGTGCTCCTCAGTGGAGGCTCTCAGTTTCTTCAGGCATGATATAGATGATGGGCCTTTGTACATTTGTGACAGAAATAGCTAAGATTTTTAGAACTTATTTTTATTCCTATAGGAAAAAGGCCTCCCCCTCATAACAAGAGCCTATAGAAACATTGTTTTGCTTGAAAATACATAAGATGAATACCCTCACCTCTTCATATCTGTATTTAATATTGTTCAAAGAATAATATTCTTGTCACTAGATGCAAACAATAAGAAAGAAATTTCCAGCATCCCTCTGAGAGCTCACTAAACATAGCACGTAACTAAAAGCTTTTTAAATAATATAGACAGGCTAACATAATGTCAGGAGTTATTACATAAAATGCTCACAAGACATTTAGAAGTTCACCTAGGCAGACTGCTGTTACTGAGCACAGCAGTTTGGATTCTGTACGGGAGAAACTGGGAACCAAGTTATTGGTGGGGGGAGGGAATCTTCTGTTTCTTAAAACCAGGACACAGGAATAGTGAATTTAAGACTCTTCAAAACAGATGGGGAGAAGGAATATATGACTAATAAAAATGAAATAAGTAAATTAGTTGTGACGTGGCTCGTAAAATAGACACTGCCTACTTGCCTTGCCTACCTACTCTTTTCTCTGGAGTTCTAAGAAATCACTGATAAATGCTCCCCCCCAACACACACTTTTTTTGTTTTTTTTTTTAAGAGTTCAACCTGGTCATTGCTATCATCTGTATAATGGTCTTAGAGCAAGCCTTCTGGAAGACTATCAGCTGCCAGAGATCTTGAGAACTCCTTTGGAAGAACTTTGTTTACAAATAAAGGTAAATTAGGTAGGAGGGTTAAGAAACTAAATGGGGTGGGGTTCAAATTTTTACCATGAATTTGTTTTCTGTGTGGGTTTAGTAAACTGTGTTTTGAAACTTCCTTCAAATGCTTATTTAAAAGTTTTTAATCATGTATTGCTCTGGAGCCAGATTGCCAGTGTTTGAATCCCAACTCCTCTCTGAACAAGCTAGTGTTGTTACATTGGGCAAGTTATTTAAATTAACCTCATATAAAATTCTTACTAGCACATAGTAAGTGTTCAGTAAACGTTCGCCCGTTACTACATCTGAAGATGTTATCCCTCTTTATAACTATTGACCATTATTTCAGTATCTTATGTATTTTGATACAATTATCCTTATTTTGAAAATAATTGGTAATCAACTTGTTTGTTGAAATTTTAACCAACTATTCTCATTAGTAAGTGTAGGTGGGTGGTGGTAGAAAGTAGTATATGAGCCTTTAAACATGTTTTTTATAGAATCACAAATATAATTTTAACTTATTTTGGTAAAATAACTAATTTGAAAATCATGTATAGATTTGATGTTTTACTCGAGTGAGTGACACAGAAAGACTAAGCTGTTTATCAATATATAATACGTGTTTAATTTTGTCTCCCCACAGATTTTAAGGCTAGGTGGAATTGCTCATTTTCTGAGTAGGTTAATGGATCCACCATCAAATGAAGCAGTGTCACTCTCCATAAGACACCTGGTGGAACTGGTAAACTTGATGTTTTTTAATTCTAACTTAGAGAGTGTTAGAGCATGTAAGCCCGCTAATTATATTTACTCTCATTACTGCAGTTTTGCTCAGTGCCAAATTTGATACACTATTTGGTTTTTCAGGTTAGTGTATGGCATATAAATTAGAAAGTTATAAAACGATACCTTTGTGATGTTCTTATGCAACTGGGCCCTTTCCACATAATTTTTTTCATTGTAGATCTGATTTAAAATTATATAACATTTTGAAATCATTGAATTATTGGTCTTTGTCTTCATTTGTATTCTTGAAACGGATTTGGTTGGTTTCTTCTACTCTTTCTGATTACTGTAATGTTGTGTTAGAGCTTTTGTCAAATCTAAGTAACTTGAGGGGCCTGGCTGAGTGGCTCAGTTGGTTAAGAGCTCGCTCAAGAGTGCCAGCTCTGAGCAACAGTGGTTTGGGTCCCAGCCCGAACTGAGCAGCCGCCGAGCTGCCAACAGGTGGCAGGATGGCTCAGCTAAAAAAATAAATAATAAACCAAGCAAAAAAAAACTAATCTAAGTAACTTGATGACAGTATGGACATGTTGTAAAGGCAACTCTTATATTTTTGAAGAAATAATAACAGGTGGCTTTTCTCCAAAATACCATATTCCCCTACCTGTCATTTTATTTTTATTGTTTTTTTTTTCCTTAGTTCTTTTTTATGAAGTTAATGTTTTCAGTAACTAGTTTCAGTGCCTTACACTTGGTTGGTGGGTATCCCTGCCCCAGACCATGCTGAAAGGAGGCCCAGGACTAGCTTTGAGTCCGGTGTCTACAGTGAGGGGAAAGGCGCTGAGTTTAGTGCCCACACTGGAGCGAAAAAGGTCAAACCTGTGCTGGCTAATACAGAAGCCACTAGCCACATGTGACTATGTAAATTTTGATTTATCAAATTACAAATTCAGTATTTCAGTCACACACACAAATTTCATGTGCTCAATAGGTACACGTGACTAGTGGCTGCCGATTTGGACAGCTCAGAAATACAACATTTCTGACATTGCTGCATGTTTTGTTGATTAGTGCTGAGTTAGAAGATGCCAAAGGTGTATTTTGCCTTCTTCAGTTTTATTTGAGCGATTCATGCAGACTATTTTGAGAATTTGGCCCATGTCAGAACATTGCAATCGCTTGTAATGTGAGTAATAAGTTTAAATGAAAAAGCATTGTATATTATCTAACCACCTTTGTTGGAGTATAGATTAGATTTAGTGAGATTACTGGTATTTTAGTAAGTAGTACAGTTTTACTAGTGAACTCTCTTTCCTCCACGTTTGTCTAATAGAATATAGCTGTGGAGAGCTGGGTGATGCTGAGAATAAATTTATTATTTGTGGTAGAGATGGATGACTAGAGGATAGCTCGATTCTGAGGCTGGAGCGGGATGACGTCCCCTCTCCCAGCTGAATTTAAGAGCCAGTCTTAGCCATTTGCAGGCAACAAAATCATGAGAAGGCCAGTAAATCCTTGCCAATAGTATGGTATGGTCTGGAGACCATATTTTAAAAAAAAGAAAAAAATTTATTGTGAAATACAGCATGACTATACAGGATAAATGAGCAAAACAAAAATGTACAGGTTAATGATTTATCACAAAGTGAGCACTATGTCATCATTACTTCTGTCAAGAACATTCCCAGAATCCTAAAAGCCTACCTCCTACATTCCCGGTCACTTCACTGTCCCTCAGTCCCAAAGATAAACTGTACCATGACTATAATGGTAATATTTTGCTTGTTTTTCTTGGTGGTTTTACCATACAAGTACACATCTTTATAACGAGCTCAGTTTAATTTGGCCTATTTTGTGAACTTTACATGAACTCACACAAGATGTGGGGTGGGTTTGATGGGTGGAACAGGGGTCTGGATTCTTTTGCTTAACATTGTGAGATTGAGCTGCATTATTGCTTTTAGCTGTAGTTATTCATTTTCATTTCCTTACCATATTTTGCTATGTGACTACTGAAAGACGTTTTGGTTATTTATAATTTGAGGCTATTACATATAATGCTGATAAGAATATTCTTCAATATTCAGTATTTCTTGGTACACATGTTTAAATATTTCTCATCAGTATATTCTTAGGAGTGAATTCACTGGGTCATAGGTATACACACACACACACATACACACACACACACACACACACACATATGATCAACTTTGGTAGATAACACCGAACAGTTTTCCAAAGTTGTGGAACCACTTTACACTCCTACCTGTGCTGCTGGTAGGTGAAAGTTATTGCTCAAACATCACCATCCTAGGTAATCCTTAATTCTAAGCATGCTGGTTAGGTATATAGTAGTTTTGTGGTTTTAATTTGCATTACCATGGCTATTGAATTTGTGAGCAGCTTTTCATGCTAGTTGCCCATTTGGATAGCCTCTCTTATAAATTTTTGGTGCCTGTTTTTCTGTTAGGTTAGAGGAGATCATTATGTACTTATTTATATTTATTCTTGATCTGAGCCTTTTGTCAGCTGTGTATTGCACATGTTTATATATTTACCTTTTTTTAATAGTGCTTTAATAAGTTCCTAATTTTAATGTAGTCAAATATATCAGCCTTTTTCTTTACTGTTATTCATTGTTATTTTTTTTTTTTTAAGATTTTTATTGGGGAATTGGGAGATGGGAACAGTGCTGGGGAATTGGGGGAAGGGGAACAGACAAGTTGCTGTCATTTTGTTCTTCAGTCTAGTTGTGGAGGACGTTGCTTCACTGG